AACGTGATATTGCTATTAAAGAACGTGATTTAATTGAAATTGAAAAGAACGAACTATTAAAATATATAAAAACGACTTAAATCAGTTATGGGAAAAAAGTGTTAAAAAAAAGAATATTAAAAAAAAAAAGAAATTTGTTATACATTTCTTCATCAATAAATTCTATTGTGTACTTTGGATGAACTCATCTATGAGAATAATAACATATAGCGAGGTTATTTCATTCATTTTTTGTTGATTAATGGATGGATAAAATTTAAAATTTGAACTTTAATTGAAGTTACTAGTTTCAACTTTCGAATACGCACGTATCTCTCGACATCGGTTTCATAAGCAGGTCCACAGCACATTTTTCTCGATATTAATGCTTGAAAAGGGTACAGATTCATAGAGATGTGTGTGTGTTTAGAACTTGAAAATTAAAACTTGAAGAGGATTATTTCAGTTGAACTCCAGTTTCAGTTTTGAGTCTATTAATCTTATCTGAACGATGATGGATTGTCTTATAGGAGCTTCATATCGAAAGTCCATGCTAATATTCAGATGAATCTATTGTCTATATTGTTTTAGTTGTCAAACAATAATTGCTTTCGAAGAATTCCTGTACTTAATCATTATCCAAATGAAGTTTCACATTAACCATTTGACGAAGATGCTATTAGTCGAGAAAGAACTTTTAATATAATTAAATAATAAAATTTTCTTTTTAGAATGAAATAATTATCAATGCCAGATGATGTTTCTATTCAATTAAATCCTCCAATATCTTATCCATTTTTAATTACACGTTTTGATGGAACATGTTATTATGGTGTTGCATTAACTTTTTTTAAACAATTCAATAATGATGATGGAACTTGTTCAAAATCTTCATCTGCAACAGCAATTATTTCTTTAAATCGTCTAATTGAAAAATTATAATTGAACATGTCGACATGAATGTCGTTCATTATTCAACATTTAAACGTATTTTAGAACTTCTTTATCATATGACAATTGAACATGGTATATTAGGTTTACCGTTTGAAACTCATTTATATAATATATTATACAGTAGTGGACAAAATTATAAGAACAGACACTTTCTTAGTATATTCGTTTTATTTTCATTTACGTCTTTCCTAATTGCAATGACTTTTGTGTTTAGACATATGCATTGAGATGTGGTCTATCCAAAAGTGAGATTCAATTTCCTTGTTTCGAATGTTAAGCTCGAGATACTGCATGTTTATTAAAAATCACGGTTTTTTGCCTGGTCAAAATTATAAGAACAAAGTAGTATTTTCTTTTTCCTATTTGAGAGAGACATCATTTCGATTTGAAAATGACACAGATAGATAGAGGAACTCATTCTGAATACTTTCATAAAAAAACTTTAAAAATTGGTTTATGTTTGGATTTAAAATTGGATTTTATTGTTCAAGCAAAATTAGCTTAAAATGGCTGGAAAATGTCGCTCTCGTGCACATTTTTGGCTACACAAACTAAAATGTAGCTGGGATTGCTTTTTTCAGAGGTGCAGCATATACAGGAGATTTTATGCTACAAAATGAAAGGTTTTCAAGCTACGAAAGTCTGTTTCCTAAAAACGTAGGATATTCCCGGTCAGGATTCGAGTATTTCCTCTCGCGATTCGCCACACGCCCGATTCCAACTAAGATCACACTGGTTCCAAGTAGAACTCGATGAGCTCTATCCAACGCACTAGTTTTTTCCGAAAATAAACAATCCTTTCTTGCCTAAACCCCTTTTTTCCACAAAAAAAACAAGAAAAAACAACACAGCGACACCAAAACCACTCGCGATTCGCTCAGAGACCAATTTCAACAAAACTAACACTGGTTCCAAGTAGATCTCGATGAGCTCTATCGAATGGACACCTTTTGAGCTCAAATCGATGCACCCATCACTGAGAAATCAGCCTACAAGGCACGAAAGAAGGCTTCTTTCCGGAAAACCTGTCACGATTCGGCCCGTGACCGATTCCAACAAAACTAACACTGGTTCCAAGTAGATCTCGATAAGTTCTATCCAATGGACACCTTTTGAGCGCAAATCGATGCACCCATCGCTTAGGAATCGGCCAACAAGGCTTTTTACCGGAAAACCTCTCGCGATTCGGCCAGTGGCTGCTTCCAACAAAACTAACGGTGGTTCCAAGTAGATCTCGATGAGTGCATCGATTTGCGCTCAAAAGGTGTCCATTGGATAGAGCTCATCGAGATCTACTTGGAACCAGCGTTAGTTTTGTTGAAATCGGTCAATGGCCGAATCGTGACAGGTTTTTCGGAAAAAAGCCTTGTTTCGGGCCTTGTAGGCTGATTTCTCAGTAATGGGTGCATCGATTTGAGCTCGAAAGGTGTCCATTCGATAGAGCTCATCGAGATCTACTTGGAACCAGTGTGATCTTAGTTGGAATCGGGCGTGTGGAGAATCGCGAGAGGAAATGCTCGAATCCTGACCTGGGATATCCTACGTATTTTATTGTTCAAAATTTTCATAAAAATGAATCAAAGTTCTCAGTTACGACTAAGTTGTCTGCTGGTAAGCGAAAAAATCTATGATAATATATGATATCTAGATGATGCATTCGATTACTCAATAGCTAAAATGAAATCTTAATGATAGTAACAACGTAATCATCATCATCAAATTTCTCTAATTTCTGTTCTGAATGACCTATAATATTCGGAATCACTATTTATTATTTCCAGTCTGAAATAAACTTGAATTGATAACAACAGAATTTATCAATGTCGGACAATAGCTTCTGCACGTTGCAAATATTCAAATTTAATTCGATTTATACCGAATACAATGCTATTTATTGATTGTTATATTGTACTTCATCATTTTTCGTTGACGTCTTTTATGTAAGATCATTTTCCACGGCAAATTCTCTGGATTTGGCATGTACATCGTCTTCATCCAATTGAATATTACAAAGACTGCACGCAGCAACTTCCAAACCGCCAATTAATAGATCCCAAAGTTACCTATATTCCTTCTTCAACATCAATAGATTCTAAGAAATCATCATTCATTCCGTCAATTGATTTGGCAGCAGCTTCTCTTCGTCAAATTTCTTTTCTTGAAAAATTCAAACAGCATTCTCTCTATTCAAGTGATTTACAACAAATAAGTCACTCACTATTTCGAAAAATGGTAGAAAATTACATGTTATTTCTCGAATTGGGTAAACGAGAGCAGTTAATCGTACCGACTTCTGACATAGATTTGATATGGCATACACATTTACGAAATCCTACACACTATCGATCGACGACAACTGCTTTATGTGGTTATGTGCTTAATCATTATGATGCAATAGAGGAAAAAACTCTAAAACGTGGTTTTGTAGACACCAGAAACTTATGGAATGCCGCCCACAATTCAAAATATAGTCATAAAACGACAAGCCAGTATACACGACCATCAACTACTGTCGATAATAGTTTAGCTTTTGCGTTGCCTATTGGTCGAGCGAGGGATACTTGGAGGCCAACTTATACGGTTACCGGTAGCGGCAGTTGCAATTACGGTGGTGGCTGTGGATAAATTGGCTCTTGAATGAGTCATGAAATTTCTCTTCATAAAATCTACTTTTAAGAATTAATATTGTGACATTGTCAGAAATGGGCACATTCCAAAAAACGAAGATTTCAGTAGTTTCAGAGTTTTTTTTTGTTGTGAAATTCGCGAATTTGTTTCTCATTAGTGACCTGGAGTTTTTTTTAAATAAGGAAATCTTCCATGATTTCTTTTTTCGGAAATCTGCACATATCTGAAGAAAACTGCGCAATGTTTTTCTTAGATGGTTTACTCAACTTTTCCAATCCATGAAATTACGATAATGCTTAACCATGTGTATAGGATACAATCTAGGTGATTATATTCAATACAGAGAAAGAATCATTCATAACTAGGACACATACAAATGCAATAAGTGAACACAGTCTGTCACATATTAGAGGTCTTCTACAAGCTGTAATTTACGAAGAAATAACTTTGTAAACTTCTGGCAGTAGTGTTGATCATGATTTCGTGACGTAAGATGGTTCACAACTCTGATAGTATTGCGATGATTCGTATGTTGATTGTCTTGTGCATGTATGACTCTTGTTCTCTTCTATATTGCAATGTGAAAACCATTGGTGAACAGTCAAAATTCTTTTTTGTTTTTTGGATTTATTCATCTGGATATAGCTAGAAAATATCTGAAGATATTGCTAGCATTGCTTTAGAGCAACGTACCCATTTATTTCTTTTACAAAATTAATTCTGATAAAAGACGAGTTATTCGTCGTATCTTTATGTTGGAATTCCCTATCAAATCAAAGGGAAGATTCAGAGAAGGAAGGAAAAAAACTGCTATTCCGTCCTGTCCTTGCCATTTTAGAAAATAATTCCAAACGCAACTCATCAACGTCTTCCATCAGGAGTGAGTGCCTCATAAGTTGATCTATGTTACTTAAATGTATCAAATTATCCAGAAAGTTCGTGCAACTTTTATCGATTAAAATGACGACGAAACATCAGAAATGTGGAATGTGAATGTGAGTATCGGTCTTCTATACGCACCGACACCCACATTCACCCTATATATATGCGAATATTGTAAACTGTTACGTATAGTGCTATGATTCGTTTTCATGAACTCATTATTAAATCAAAACCACAACATGTAGTTCGATTTAACAAAGGCTAAGTAGTTCGTCAAATTTCTTGCATCCATCTCTTTTACAAGACTTCACTCTGTATTTGTTACTCTATGTTGTTAAGTCATAGTTCCAAAGTATAATTTAATGGAGTCTATGATATCAGCGATCCGCTGAGAATACGTCTAGATTGTCAAAGTGACAATCATCATCACAACAATGGTTACAAGTGAACTAATGATAATGACGAGGATGATTTCATACCACAAATCGTATTTGGCTGGATTGTCTTTTACTCAGTTTCTTTTTCATTTTGCAAATGTCAGATGTAAGAGATCATAATATGAACAGTAATATGGATGCTCTTGTTTCGCATAATCGATAATTATACGTAAATACAAGAAAAGTATTGAGTTTTGTAAGTTCAACAATACTATAGGGTGAACCTAGGGCTATGCAATCAGATTTTGAAATATTTCTATAAGTTTTCTCGACCTAATGAGTTGGAAAGAAATAGTGAGAAAACATGTTTAATGCAAAAAAAAAACTTTCAAAATATTTAAATATGATAATACTAAACATCTCGAACACTCTGTATCATGTCTACTGAGCAATCATCTCAATTTCACCAATGTTATCAATGCTTCAAATACGCTACGTAATCATTTGAACAATAACTCTACTGAATAAGCACATTTATGTGTATTTGAATTTGACAAGGATATCTTTGTTTGTGCATATCTTATTATTATAGAAAGTTACCGAAAAAATCGTCAAGAAGGAAGCTGTTCAATCATTTGAGACTGTGATGTTCGTCTGTAACTGATCGTCCTAAATTCATACATGACAAAATTTTATTTGGTGATTCTTTTAAAAATGCAGATACGATTAATTAAAGAAAAACAAATGTTCAAACTGAAAATTTCAATTTATGTTCATTTTCTCATTTTTTGCCTCGATTAAATCGTGAATAATCATGATCCCAAACGGTAAGTCCAAGTAAATACAATGCATCAGGATATTTATCAGACAAGACTTCTAAATCATACTTCGACTGTTTCAACAAAGCACGTTGTTTTTGAAATCGAGCTAGATAAATTCTTTCTGTTTTATCATAAAATTTAATATAAGAAGACGAAGGATTTTTTATCGATAGAAATTCACCATTCCAATAAATAATATATTCATAAGCAGATAATCCACCAATATCTGTAATATTACCATTAATCCATCTATTTGATTGTGGATCGAGAATAGATATTGTAGCAGAATAGGTTAATGATGCCCATTTACTTTTCAGTTTGGCTATGACTTTTTTCGATGGATAGACAAAAACTTCATTATTATGCACAGGAAGAAGATGAGATTCAATACGATATTTGAGTTGTTGTTCATTCTCATCATAAACAGAAAATTCAGCTGACTTAACTCCAGAAAGAACATCTTTCTTAATCATAAACTTGTGACCAGCATTTTTCGCACTATTAACAATAGCAAACATCAATAGTAGAAAAAAAGTGAGAATAGTCAACATTTTATGTATGAAAAATTATTGATTAGAATCTATGCATGAAAGTAATCAATCGGAGAAAGCGTTATATAGGACGTCTTGTTGTACTGGTCCTGTTAATAAAATTTACATAGATGAATCATAATACTGAAGCATGTGTCAATATTCGTTAATTGAAAGCAATTGTAGAATAAACGTATATGTTTTTCGAGTTGTGCCTTCTAAAGCAATCGAGTAAGCTATGCAATATGCGTAAGTGATGATTACATTGCCCTTCAAGCATAGAAATAATATGTTTATAGCTTCCTATGGTGAATGTTTCGAGCAATGATAAAAAAAAACAAGTGAATTATTTTCATTTCATGTAAACCTACAAGAAAAAAAAAGTCAGTAAGGAGAAGCATCAATTGTGGTCACTGCATAAAGTAAATAATTACATGTGAACATTAGGGAATCTGTAGCAGAGCACAAATTAAAATGGTAATGGTGAGAAAGGTTATTGATCCATGTGAATTGTTGGGGTGGATGTCTTCTTCGCATGCATACCATTTCCACCAATTCGTTCTCACATCACTTAAAATATCTTTCATCAATATACAAAGAAACAATCATAAGAATGAAAGGTTTTACAAAATTTTGAAATGAACTCGTTAGTTTGTGGTAGAAATCTTGAGTATTCCACTGAATCGAAATCTTTTGTTCTATTTTGCTTTTTGATCAATAGTCATTTGGAGTTCTCACATTCTATGTTCTATTTTAATTGGTTATTTTCGTTCTTTTATTTTAGAGTTATATAATCAAAGTTAGAAACTACAAGACAATGAAAGCGTGTAAAATGATCATGAATTTTGTGAACAGTCAAGTTATTGTTTGCAAAGCAACCAAAAATGACATTATGACTGTTTTACATATTGAATCATCGAAAAGTTTTGCAAAAGAATGTTTTTTTCATTCTATACCAATTAATATTTCAGCTTTGATGATGATTCGAATTATGTAAGCTGACTTTTTTCATAACATGTCTTAAAATAACTTTCCTAGATGAATATACCTTTTATGAAGAATAGTTAATCATAATATCGGCAAATTGTGTAATTTGCTTAGCTCTCAAAAATTATGTCGAAAGAACGAAAGACGATTGTTAGCGTGTTTCACTGACTTTTTATAATATTCAATTTGTGTCTGTTGTTAATTGATGAGAATTGCTGGAAAAAGATTTATTCGCCATTTGAAATAAACACGAGAATGAATACTTCATAGTAGTACCTGAGCGATGCAAAGGTCTTCATTTGAAATCAGTAGAATTATACATACTCGGATACAGACTTTTACAATCACAATGTGCGAGTTCATCAAATACAAAGATCTCATGAAATCGGTTTTCGAACTAATCGAACTGTTCGTTTTGATCATGCTGACAAGACTAGAGCAACAATCAAACTAGAAAGAAAGGTTGACACTTACTCACGCATGTTTCATCAACATAAAGACCATCCTAATCATTCTGGAAAACTCTGTATTGCCAGATATAATTATATAGGTATGATTCGATAGTTATATTGAGATGAGCCTCGGAAATGCCACCATGCTATTTCAAGTAGGAGCGAGCATTCAACGTGTTCAAGTATTTTCCATCAAAGTTTAGCCTGTTGACGAGCCACGTTTTTTTATTGCCTCTGGTAAGATAAAAATAATGGAAAACTTGAGCAAAATTCTTGTTTTGGTTTGTTCATGTACCATTTGATAAAGTACCAAATAAAACTTCTGTTTGCCGCTTTTTATGTACCAACTTAGTCGCATCATTAATAAGATTCATCCAAATTAAAGAATATCATTATATCGTGCTCTTGTGGCGTAAGTGGAAACGCATCCGGCTGTTAACTGGAAGACAGATGGTTCGAACCCATTCAAGAGCTATTTTCTCTCATTTTTCTTTTTTCTTCTGTATGTTTATCGAAAAATAATTATGAAATAGCTCTTATAGAGAGTCACTTAAAAAGGTAATAACATTATACATACTATCGTATTTTTTCTTTCTTCCGATGATTCAGCGTTGAAAGAAAAGAACGATAATGTGTGTCATGTAATTACCTCATTTTTTTCCTCGTACGATAATATTTCATAATCTTACCTGAATGAATTCATTTGAAAAAAAAACATTGAGCACACCCCCTAAATGGATTCGAAAAGTCTATTCATTAATGATGGTTGATGCTTAGAATTGCTAAGTAATCATGATTGATGAACGAATCTAAACCATTTATCCTTCAGTTAGAAGCCGGATGCGTTTTCACTTACGGCACCAGAGTACAATTGAATAATTGGTTATCTTATCTCGACATCTATACCCAATGCCACCATCTCGCCTTTACTTCCATCTTTCAAAATATCTTTCATTGATTTATATAGACAAAATTATATCGATGAACACAAAATTAATGATTCTAGGGTCACAATACAAAAACCGTTAGTTTGTGGTAGAAATCTTGAGTGTTTCAGGAAATCGAAATCTTTCGTTCTAATTTCCTTTTGATCAATAGTCAGTTGAAGTTCTCACATTCTACGTTACAAGACCGTTGTGGTGAAACGGCATCACTTCCGGGTGTGGTTCTAACGTAAACGATTCAACTCCGCTCAATGGCATTCTGTTTTTTTTGGTTACTTTCGTTGTTTTGCTGTGGAGTTACTTGAAAATTATGTAATTACTAACTTAGAACAAATAAGTCCCTTCTAAACGATTTTTACATGCAAACAGATCCATATTATCGTGAATTAGTGTGACGGAAAAATAAATTTTAGCAATGGCATCATTAAAATTTTTCATATGAAAATCAAGTGTTATTTAGAAACATTACACAACGAAATCATGATGATAAAGATCTGTATTAGTGGAACCAAAATTTTTATGAGTTAGTGTGAGAACTATAGCCAACAGAGGACGTTGTTTTTCGGGCAGCTGTTTATCATCCTTTCACAATTCCAAGGGTCTTGGTAGATCGGCACACGCCTCTCCGAATTCACCTCGATTCTGATTGATTAAACCACGATTATTATAAACAATCATGATGCATAGATGTATACATCCGCTAGCGAGTTGTCAAGATGTTGAAGAGCTTCATCGTTTCAACGTGTATCTCCATCATCCTAAATCCGCTACCTAGGATATCAGCAATGTTTCATTTACTACTAAAGGAATACTCTCAATTTTCGACATTGTATATTTTTATTTGCTTATCTCAAGCATAAAACTTAGCAATGAAGATTATTGACTTTGCTTTGCTTTTATTCAATTTGTTTTACATGCAAAAAAAACCTGCTTTCTTGCAATAAGAATTTCGCAGCTTATTTCAACAATCAATCAACTTTGTCGATCTTTCTTTAACAAGTTGAAATCTAAATATTGAGAAAATTATCAGATATATAAACGAACTTATTTTCTCATTTGTTCAAGAGAAACTGTCGAAAGAAGTCAACTGAATCGGATCCAGATGATTGCTGTACAATAAAAATCGATAGAATGTAGTGATGCTATGTAAACTTTTGATGAATTCTTTGAGATATGACAAAATCGAAGATAAAAATAACTATTATCAAAAGAATGCCAGTATAATTCTTGAATATTCTTTCAGATCTAGATAGAGGATAAAAAACGAAGTTATCATGAAGTCAGTTGAACATCTTAAGAATTTTAGAAGGATATGTGAATTGAAAAAAACATTATTTCTAAGCGAAAATCTTATATTATTTGAATAAGGAATATCATTGATAATTTTCTTATTTCTCGATCAAATCTTGATGAAAAAACAACATATAAAATCCATGATCAATGCAAGGATTTCTATCAAAATAGATATAAAAGAGCAAAATTAAAGACAAAATTTTTTTTTCTCATTCTTTGGAAATATCCTAGAGGCACAAAATAATTGAAAAGTAAAATATCGAAGTTTTGACTCGTGAGAAAGATTCAAGGGAGTGCTCTGATTTATATATATATCAAATCTCATAAAAAGCAAAATAGCAAAATTGCCAATCGTCCTTTAATTAATTCAACATCAAAATTTATCGCATTGCGCTACTTTATTCAAACTTTCATCGAAAATCTGTTTAAGTAATATGAGTATCAATGAATACCTATAAAGATAAATATATATACCGGCAATATATCAGTATTTTTAATTCACCATATAGAAAAAAAGGAATATTTCGATTAATATGTAAGTAAGACACGAAAAGTATTATCACTATATAGTAATCAATAATATATTCATTGTTGATCGTGTATTTTTTTATTCTCCTACTATCATATTCATTTTATTAATTGTTATCCGTTATTATTCTCATTTATATTTGATGAAACAGATAATAATATAATTGTTATAAGTATTGATAAATATAATGATAAATGTATTGTTAGAATAAAATTTTGTCGAACAAAAAATCTTTATAAATAAAACTATCAGTAAAAAGTCTAGTGAACTTTTAATTTCATTTCATACTGTTGTATTATTATTATTTTATTGATCAATTTCAACTAAATAAAATCAAAACTTTAATTAAATAAAATTTCTATTCTATAATCTATCTTTATTTTCATCTATTCTTAATGATGTTCCCATGTTGCGAAAACCGGATCAGTTTTAGCGGTAAACCGTCTGTTTTAAATGCGACCGCAGTTTACCGCTATTATCTCCGGTGAAGAGAACGTAACGAATGAGTATAGAACGAAAAAAAAACCTGTATATATATACATGTGCTCGCCAATCTTTCGTTTATTTTGCTTGCTCGCATGGTTAGATAAAATGATAAAGTAATTAATAAGAGGCACAGTAAAGCTTTAAGTATTTTTACATATAATTTTTTCATAATTATTTTATTTTTAAAAAATTAATTTTTTTAACATTTATCGTTTTTTAATAATATTTTAATATTTAATTCTCTCTTAGATTAATGTTTTTATATTATATTTCTAAGTTTATTTTTTAGATTACATGTTTAAAATTTTTAATAAAATTTTTTACAATAATTGTATTTGTGTTTTTTTTTGCTAATATAAATTTTTCATTTTTTACTATGTACAATTATTTTTATTTACTTATATTTTTTTTGTTTTTGGAATAAATTTGTTTAACTGAAAAATAAGTGTTAAATTTAAAACAAATATTGACGAAACGAAGGTTCGAAGAGTGCCAGTAAACTGCGGCTTACCGGAAGAAAAACTAGGGATTTGCAGTGATTTACCACGGTTAATCGCCGGTTTTTATCACATGGGTTGTTAATGTTGAAACTCTAGTTAATAATCGTTCATTATTTTGTAATAATAAAGATTTTGATGAACGTATATTTGTTAATGTTAAAACTACGTCGTATTGTTTGAAGTGTATGAATTAAAAGATTTTGTTGATACTATATTCATACATTCAAAGTCTTTAGACAACCTGTATTATTTGTTTGATTCGATTTTCATGATATATTTTGATGTACTATTAAATGTTCTGGTGACAATAAGATCTTTTTATATGTAAGACATTTCAAGCAGTATATCGACCGTATTTTTTAAAGGGAAGAATTTCTAAATGACAAATATTAGAAAAGGATAAGAGATTTAGTTGAAAGTTTCATCTTTGTTTGTTTTTTTAGTAATAGAATTATAATAACAGTAAAATGAAAAAAAAATTTTTTTGAAAAAGTTTTCTATGAATTTTTTCAAAACGACCAGAAAGAACATCTTCATTAAAAAAACAAAAGACTTTTATTAGCTAGAAAAATAAAAATTTTAGTATCTCATTAAAAAAAATAATATAGACTAAAAAATATTATTGATCATTATTGAATAGGATTATGAATACAAATTTTTGAATTATGAAGACCAAAAAAAAAACAAATGTTCAAGAAAGATTCAAATCGACCTACAAATAGATGAAACATACTTGTTCGATTAATTGAATGATCTTTAAAAATCAATTAATAATTTACATGATTAAATTTTTTTCAGCTTGTAAT